AGCTTGAATGCATTTTGGTTATTTTACCTTCTAGGCATTCTCTTACAGGAATATTAATGCAGAGGGAAGATATTATATTGGAATGGATATTTTTACCAAATAAAACAATTAAAAACTTATGTGGAAAAAATATCTGACTTGATTTGGAAAGGAAAATTGAGACTTCATCGATTAGCAGGAATAGACCCGACATAAATTGTTGTACCTTTAACTAAAGAGGACATTGAAAAATTATGGACAGAAAGTGAACCTTGGCAAAGAGCTTGCAGTAATTTTTTAGGAGAAATTAACAGTAAATATCCCAAAAGTAATAGAATTGATCTTATAAAGAGAGCTGATTGGATCTTGCCTCGAATTGTACGGGAAAAACTCATATCTGGAGTTTGTACATTTTATACAGATGCCAACAAACAAGGAAAGGCAGGTTACAAATCAGAAAATTTAAGTAAAGTGGTTCAAAGTCCTTATAATTCAGGTCAAAAATCAGAATTGTATGCTATTCCATTGGTATTAATGGATTTTTCAGAACCTCTCAACAAAGTTACTGACTCTCAGTATGCTGAATGAGTGGTATTACATATTGAGACTGCAGAATTTATCCCTGATGCTTCAAAATTAACTTAACTATTTATTAAATTATAAGATACAATCAGGAAAAGGAGTCATCCTTTATACATAACTCACATTTGATCCCATACTGGTCTGCCAGGCCCTCTAGTACAAGGCAATGATGAGATTGATAAATTATTGATAGGAAATGTGCTGGAGGCCTCAGAATTTCAAAAAGAACATCATGTCAATAGTAAAAGTTAAAGAACGGATTTTTCCAAAACCTGGCAACAAGCCAAGGGAATTATAAAGTAATGTCCTACTTGTTCCTTTTTACAATCAAAAGTCATTACCAGCAGGATGTAACCCAAAGGGTACTCAGAGGAATGAAATCTGGCAGATGGATGTGTTTCACTTTGCAGAATTTGGAAAACTGAAATATGTACACCATACCATCAATACTTATTCAGGATTTCAATGGGCAACTGCTTTGAGTTCTGAAAAAGCTGATTTTGTAATCACTCATTTGCTAGAAGTTATGGCCATCATGGGTATACCTGCACAAATCAAAACTGACAATGCTCCATCATATATCTCTGTTAAAATGAAACAGTTTTTTGCTTATTACAATATAAAGCATGTTACAGGTATATCACATAATTCTACAGGTCAAGCAGTTATAGAAAGATCAAACAGAACTCTAAAGGATATGCTAAATAAACAGAAATGGGTAACAAAAACCCCCAGAAATACACTGCATAATGCTCTATTAACTTTGAATTTTCTCAATGCCAATGAGAAAGGAACAACAGCTGCAGAGAGACATTGGATAATGGAAAAAAACTACAGAATTAAATCAGCCTATATACTTCAATGATGTGCTGACCTCAGAATGGAAACCAGGATATGTGTTACGTTGGGGACAAGGTTTTGCTTTTGTTTCTACAGGAGAAGATAAGCTGTGGATACCATCAAAATTGATAAAGGTTCGATTTGAACAAGAGAGGCCTTTTAATTAGAGGAGGTGATATTTCATCAACCAGCATGACCATCCAATTTGAACTAACTTATACCATTAACAAATGCCTTTTTATTTAATCAGATAATAACTTGCCAAAAAGGAACCTCCCCAAAATTAGTCTTGGGGAAAGTTTTTTTTGTTTTTGTCTTTTAGGAGATTGAAGGCTAAAGAATCTGAAGAACACTGGACAAATGAGACAACTGAAGAAAAAGGATAAATCACCTATCCCAGGAAACAGAGTGAAATGGCGTATGGGTGTATCATCTAAAAAAATTTATGTCTTCGTAAATGTTTGTTTCTGCTCTTCTCTAAAGAAATTTAACACTATTCATCTTCTTGTAGTCCCAGTTCAATTAAACTTTAAAGCTGACTTTGGAGTTGGAGAATGGCTCTCTCCTTCTTTAAACTCAAGCATGTTGTTAAAAGGAAAATGCAAACTCCCTGTATCATGCCAGAAGAAAAGAGCCATCTTCTGCTATGGGACAGCAGAAAAACCAAATTAATTAAGGGGCTATTCTATCACTACTAATATCAATTCTTTGATTTTATTCTGTTTATTGAAACTTTTCTTAAAGTATGAATTTTATATCAAAATTTACAAGATTAATATAGATACATATATATATATACATATACATTATATATATATATATATACATATTTTAAACTTTGTTAAGATATGAATGGTCATATAGAGTACTAACTAATTCTAGAAAAAAGGCTTCAATTAGCTGCCTATATATGTCTTTGTGTTTGCGTCTCTTATCAGTTTTCTGCAGGAAATCACGGCCAGGCCTAACATCAACTGAAGTCTCCAGAAAGAAAATGGGACCCCACAACAACAACAATTCCACGTGGACAATAATAATATCACTAAGCTGACAAATATCATCTACAGATCAGCTTTAGACTACAAAGTGCTCAGAGCAATTTTGAGAGGGCTAGCTGAGATGATCCAGCTTCAAAGACTACTTGAATAAGGACTTGAGATAAACTCTGAACTTTGGCATTATGCTCAAACTGGACAACCAGGGATATAGTTACCTTTCCTAGAATTTGACAATTAACCCCAAATTTTTCTTTTCAGAATAAATATACCTTCACCCATACCCAGCAGGAAGCAATTTTAAGAATACGATGCCCACATTCCCAAAGAGGTGGTGTGGGGCAGGTGGTTTTTTTGTTCTTTTAATGGGTTTTGGGTCTGGGATAATTTTTCATTGTTTAGGAGGGTTGGTTACAAGTTGTTGTTAAGGGTTAGGAAAAGGGCTAAGCAAAGGAGGTTAGATTTAAGGTTCTTGTTTAACAAAAAAAAGAAAAGAAAAGAAAAAGACAATTACTAGTTTTAAATACTTTATATTGGATTGGAATTTTTTAGGTTGTATACAAATTATACATATTGAAGTTGATATTGTTAGAAAATGCTATATGTATATTTCTAATTTTGTTCAAGATATTGTGCTTATACCATTCATTTAACAATGTAATGCCAATTACTGATCCTTGAATGTTATTGTTACCAACTATTAGGATAAAAAGAAATGAAAGTTAGTAGACATTACAATAGAACTTGTAGTCATATTAGGTATGTTTTCAAGTTTGAGCAGATATATTTTAGATAGATGGGTCATCTTCAAACCCTTCAGAGATCTACAGAATATGGCATTTAAAATGTTTTAATAACTTAGAAAATTTTTCTTTTTGTTATGACTATGAGACATGTTGGCTTCTGGCAGTACCAATCTACTTCAGAGAGAATATGGGCATGGAAGAAACTGCATATGGAGTTAACTTTCATTGTGGCAAAAGTTAGCCACCGGACAACAAAGTATCCTTGAATCCACTACTGAAAAACAGCACAAAATGGACAGACAGGACACGAAATAAAGGACTACTGATTCTTGCCAAAACAAGTGTGGTTATAGCTTTATCAAAAGACATCTTCTGAGGCCAGGACAATATGGCATCATCCCTGAAGTGGCCTTTGCAATCCAGAAAAGGTACAGTGCCCTTTTCTTCAAAGGTAGATGAACAGGCAGTGGGCCGATGGCTTCTGATGTGCAATGGAACAAGGGCTGAAACAGTTACTCTTGAAGAGTGACTAACCTCACACATCTCAATAGTAGACTGGCATTTAATAGAGGGATGTGGAGCAGAACGAGATGCTGAGATGAAGCCACAAATACACAGCCAAGAAGAATGGACAGCTGAATTAAAAAAAAAAAAAAAACATCAATAATTTCCAGAATTTAAAATCCTGAATCATGACATGACACTAGTGGAATTCAGATGTTTCTGGTACATGAACTGCTCTCACCAAATGTGAGGTCAAACTGTTGACCTTGTATACATCCTACTTCACAAATGAGTCTGTCAGATACCCAAAGCCTATAGGCTGAAGATGATGCCCCAATGCTATGGAGAAACCTTGGGTGACTGTCCAGGCAGCTGGCTGTTTCTGTCAACTCACATTTTTTTTTGGAAGTTGCTTGCATGCACTTCCTGTTTTTATTTTTGTTAGGTAATATTATTTCCTTCTTGGGCCTCTGAGGGAGTTGAAGATTAGTTAGTTATAGTTGAAGATTAGTTAGTTATAGTTGAAGATTAGTTAGGATAGAAAGTCAATTAGGTACATTTTGCACTTACCAAAATAGGATAGATAATGGAATTATTTTCTCTGAATTTGTCAAATACAAATGGACTAGACATTGTTTTGGTATTTATTACTTGTATATATGGTATATAGTTATTGTACTTTTGTATATAGTTTTTCTTATATTAGTTATAACTTTTCCTGGACTGAGTCTACCAGGTTGATCTCAGTCCTCGGGAGAGGCTTTGCCCTGGAGGAGGTGGGAATGGGGGCTGGGCTGGGGAGAAGGAGAGGGGAGCAGGAAGGGGGAAAACAAGGGAATCTGTGGCTGTTATGTAGAACTGAATGGTATTGTAAAACAAAATTAAATTAAATAAAAAAATAAAGAAAAAGGGAAATATGATGATATTTTATTTGTACTGAAATGTGATTTTATTTGTATGTTAATAAATAAAGTTGCCTGGGGGTCAGAGCTAATAGCAAGCCATAGCAGAAGCTGGGTGGTGGTGGTACACGCCTTTAATCCCAGCACTTGTGAGGCAGAGCTAGGCCGATCTCTGTGTGTTCAAGGATACACCTAGCATGGAGACACATGCCTTGAATCTCAATACCAACCATAGAAGACCTGGAGGTCTGTATAGATGGGCAGTGACGAGGAGATCATGTGGTTGGGCTTACAACCAATGAGAAGGCAAACAGAAAATCTATATAAAGACAAACACACAGGAAGTAGCTGTCTGGCTGAGGAGGACAGCAGCAGCAGTGAAGGGTAAGGTTTTTAGCTCTTAGCTATTTCTCTGACCTCTTGGGCTTTCATATTTGCATTGGCTCTGTGTTTCTTATTTAACAAGATGGTTACATCTACACATGTGGCTATCTTCCAATTTATAGAAAGCAGTGCGACAAAGTTTCAAGTACATGAGTAACACACTTTGGCCCATTCATGCAGACCTTGGGCACATGTTGCCTCTGTTCTCAGCTGTGGTATCAGTTCTGGATAAGGGAAAAACAAGGATATGATATGTTTTCATTTTGAAAATCAGAGTGGTTCTTCATGGGATGAACCCATGTCCCACTCATTAGGCAGGAGTCCTTTTCCCATAAGCTCATTCCTGTGGCAGATATAGAGTAAAAATATTTCTTTTTTGAAATTGAACTTAAGCTCCCCATTCCTGTATTCCTGTTAATCATGTGGTTTTACCATATAAAAAAGAATGTGCTAGCTTTTTAGTATAACTAAAGTGGAGTAACATAACTATACCTATTTAAAATATTTTTATCTTGCCAGAGCTTTAGGATAGGATCAAAGTTATACTAACATGTATTATACATTTTCACTTCCTACAAGTTGAGCATCTGATAATATACCTATACACTCTTCAATGTAAAACCCATAGGGCTTGCTTCAGAGGAAGTGAGTTGATCCTCAGCAGGATTTGCAAGTTGGTCCATTAGAGGCTGTGGCTCCTCCATCAATGGTGAATCTTTGCCTTTCTTTGCCACAGATGGAGTTATTTCTTCAGCATCAGTCATGGTGCTTGCTTCACAGGTAGTGGGTTGGTCTACCAGAGACTGTGTCTCCTCCATCTTCAGCACAGGTGGAGTTACTTCTTCAGGATCAGTCATGGTGCTTGCTTCAGCAGGCTTTGCAGGTTGCAGCACAAGAGGCTGTTTCTCCTCCATCTGTGGTGAATCTTTGCCTTTCTTTGCCATGGGTGGAGTTAATTCTTCAGAATCCTTCCTGGTGCAACTCCTTTGCAGGCCACATTTCCTACGTTTGTTGTTCTTTAGGCCCTGGGATGGCAAGAGGGAGGACACAAGAGTTAATTTAGGGTGAAGGTCAGGATAAGCATGTGAAGGGTTCTTTGTCGGAACAGGTGAGGATAGGTAAGGGGATTTAGGCCAGGGCAGAGAAAGGTAGTTACTTTAGGCAAGAGTGAATCAGTGGAGGAGGGAGTTTGGGTACGGTGGGTCATCTCACCGTTCCATTAAGAATGCCTGGGGGATAAAGTTTGTAGGCCGCCTTGGTCTTTATCGGTGTGACAGGATTGGCCACTGCTTGAGTATTCATTGAAAAAGCAGAAAGATCCGCTCCGGAAGCGGATTTCTTGATCACATTTGCCATTGTCAGGATTTAGTTGCGTTACCCTCGAGAGGTCTCATCAACTGCCAGAGCAAAGCAGGCCACACCCCTCAAGCCTGATTGGTCATCAAGGTCTCAACCAATAGTAGGCGAGCTCGTGTTCTGACATCACAAAGCATGGCTCTGACCCTGGTGAAGGAAAGAACAGCAGGATGTACACCACTGGGGACACTTCTTATGATGGGGGGAAGATGCTGAGAAGGCAAAGAGACTCCAGTCTTAAAAGGAGACTTCCCTTTAACAACTCTAAGGCAATTTTCCATGCCATCTGTCTTCATATATCCACTTTAGTTGTGGCAGAACACAGGACAGAGCATTTGCTTCTCCAACTTCTTCCCCAAGACTCCCCCTGCTCAATGGTTTATTCCAATATGTCTTCCATAATCTTGGGCTAATATCTTGAATGTCTTCCCTAAAATCATTCCCAAGTAACATTTCTGTATTTGAATATCAGTATATATGTTAGCCATCCTACCAACTGGTGCTATAGCAAACATCTAGGCTCCCACCAGGACCCAGCCCCCTACTCACAGCCATCCATAGGACACTTTGCTCTGCCTACCCTTCCTTACTTCATATACATTTCCCATGTCCTCCTCCAGGGTCAAGCCTGGTGACTGAACCCTACCACCCTATACTTGTTTTTCTGCATCTCACAGTATCTCACCTGGGTCCCACAGACAAGTCTTACAGCCTGTGTCTTTCATTAGCTACCTCTAGGCTTCCTCAGGGTCCAAATCTATCACCCCACATAGTCTCACCACTAAGTCCTATAGCCAACACCTAGGCTCACTCCTGGACTGGCCCCAACCACATCCACTCACAGGACCCTCTAGAACATCGATACCACCAGACTCCATACATAGACTTCACAGATCCTCCTTCATGGTCTAGTCTGTTGAGTGGGCACATGTGTGAGTGCACATGTGTGTAAGTACGTGAGCACATGAGTGCACATGTGGGGGCATACAAACAACACACACACACACACACCCTTGAATATTTCTATTTCAGTATTCCTCTGGACCTAATGAGTGTGACAAAGCCAGTACCCAGGCCTACTTTGGCTGTGTAGCTTTATAGTAGTGATCTCTAGGCTTCCACACTTTCCCAAGTCAGGCTCCCCAGCCTAGTCTCAATACCTCCGCCTTTGCTGTGGCCAACACATAGGTTCCTGTAATATCCTCATTCACCCGCAGGACCCTTCCCACCACCTACACCAGCCAGTCAATAACCAGTGTCCTCACATCATCCAGTGTCCAGTCTACTAAGAATGCCATCCACTATCAAATGCTTGTTTTTCCACATACTGCCAGATATTAACCAGGAAACCATAGGCAATGCCCAATTTTAGTCTGGACTCTTTGCCTTGAAGTAGTGACTTCTAGGCTTCAACGGGATCCCCAGACACATACAGGGTAGTCAGAACACTTCTTCCTATACTCTAGCCAACTTCTGAGCTACCACAAGGTATTACCCTCTACATCAACCAACAGGGCCCTCCATGCTACCCATACCTCGCCACAACATACCCAGACTTCCTAGATCCCCCTCCAAGGTCTAGTCAGGTGGGCACATCCGCACTTTGTGCTTGCTTTTTCATATTCAGTGGAATCTACCCTAGATAGATTTGCCCCTGTCCCACTGTAGAATGGCTTCCTGCACCTTGCAGTAGTGATTTAGGGCCTTCTTCAGGGTCCCAAATCACAAAGAGCAGCATGTTCCCAACACCCATTTGTAGCTAGAGTTTTCCTACTTTGCCCACAGTCAGGACAAATCTTTGTCACCCGCCAGTCCCACAGCCGCTCAGACCCAACCAAGTAAACACAGAGACTAATATTGCTTACAAACTGTATGGCCGTGGCAGGCTTCTTGCTAACTGTTCTTTTATCTTAAATTAACCATTTCCATAAATCTATACCTTGCCACGTGGCTGGTGGCTTACCGGCGTCTTCACATGCTGCTGGTCATGGCGGCGGCTGCAGTGTCTCTCTGCCCCAGCCTTCTGCTTCCCACAATTCTCCTCTCTCCTTGTCCCACCTACTTCCTGCCTGGCCACTGGCCAATCAGTGTTTTATTTATTGACCAATCAGAGCAATTTGACATACAGACTGTCCCACAGCACCCATTGTTCTTCTATAGCCAACATCTAGGGTCCCTTGACACTTAACGTACCTGAACCCAACCATGGAATACTTGCTGTGCATACACAACCCCAGTACGTATCTACACTTCCCATGTCCTTCCCAAAGTTCAAACGTGGTGAATATTTTCCCTACCACACACTATTTTTCTACATTCCATAAACATAGCTCATATCGCACTGCCAGTGTCCCAGCCTAGTCTTGGCACTTATATTCTTGCCTGTTGCAGGAGTGACCATTAAATTTCAACAGAGTCCCCAAACCAGGAGCATGCTCTAACCACCTACTGCTATTCTGCAGCAAACGTACCTGCCCTCCCTGCATCTACACACAATATACTTTGTGCACCTACATTACCTCACTGCATACCCAGAGTTCTCAAGGAGCCTCCTCCATGGTATAGCCTTATAAGTACTTCTTCACAATCAGGTACTTGTTTTTCAATATCCATCTGGATCTATCTTGGTTCCCACATCAATACTATGGCCTAGTCTGATCAACTGAGCCTTGTAGTAGCAACATCTTGGGTTCTGCATGTTTCCAAACCCCATGCCCTGGCTTGGTCCCATCACATCCAGATGTACCCTAGACAAGGTGCTACTTGTACCCACCCACAGAACCTTTTGTGCTACCTCCACCACCGCTCTCCATACCCACACTTCTGATGTCCTCCTCCAGGGCCTAGCTTGGTATATAATCTCCAACCTGATACTTGTTTTGTATATCCATAAGGTTTTATCCTGTGTTCAATAGCCAGCAACCCTGGCTAGTCTGGCTGCCTGCCTCTTGCTGTATGGAGCTCTAGGCAGTAATTTCCCAAGTCCTGCATCTCAGACTAGTCTCACATTTCCTCCTGTACTGTAGCTAACATCTAGGCTCCTGCTTGGACCTGCCTTACCACAATCCATCCACAAGTCACTTTCTGTAGACTATACTACATTATTCCTTATTCAGACTTTCTGTGTCTTCTCGAGAGTCTAAATGTCCTCAACATAATACCTGTTTTACATATAGCGCAGGATCTACCCCAGGTACCATACCCTTTGTCAGGCCTATCCCAGCCCCAGACACTAGCACCCTTTAGGATTCTTAGTCCCACCTACTCCTCCTATGCTTGAGACAGCATCTAGGTTCCCAACAAGACCACCCATCTTTCATCAAACCACAGGAACTTTGGCTGCCTACATCACCCTGCTCCATTCCCAGACTGTCCAAATTCTCCTCCAGAGTCAGGTGAGTACCCCCTGCACCAGATAATTGTTTTCCAAATCGAATGGAGTCCAGACTGAATGGAAGATCCTGTGGCACCCTAGAACAGCTGCTTTCTATCACTAGTAGTGAAGATTAGCTTTTGGCAGGGTCTGAAATCCTTTGCTCTAGCCAAGTCCCACTGTGTCCTCCTGTGCTATATGCAACTTCTAGCTTCCTGCAACACCCAATGTAATGACCCTTACACAGGGGACCATTTGTGATACCTGTACAACCCAACTCTACCCAGATTTCTGATGACCTCTCCAGGGTCAAGCCTGTTGAATAACCCCAAATGTACTCTTGATACATGTTTTTCAACATCCTGCTGAATCTGTCCCAGAACTCCCGCCTAGTCTGACAACCTACAATACATAATAGGGGTCTCTAGGCTTCAGAAGGGTCCCAAATCCCAAACCCTTGTCTATTCTCACCACCTGTTCCTGTGCTATAGCTAACATTTAGGTTCTCTCCAGTACTCGCCCTATCCATATCTGCACACAGGACTTGTTGTTGTATGTACCTGCCCTCTCTATACCCAGAATTCCCATGGTATCCTCCAGAGTCTAGCCTATTGAATACTCCACACATATACCAATACTTCTGTTTTTATATCCTGAAGGATGTAATTCGTGTTCCTCAGACAGTGCTTCCTAGCAGTCTGGACTCTTTGCCTTGCAGTAATGATCTCTAGACTTCAATAGGGTCCCAAACTCTAGGCCCCAGTCTAGTTCCAACATTCTGTCCTTTGCCATAGCCAACATCTATGCTCCCACCAAGACTCATCCTACCCACATCCACCTACATGACACCAATTTCCACTTAAATAACCACATTCCATTCCAGAATTTTTGTGGGTTCCTCCTGTGTTAGACTGGGGAGTACTACCCAACCTAATACTTGTTTTTTTTTTCCCTACAATTCTGCCATATCTAGATTGGTCCCACAACAAGTGATCATGACTATTCTGGCCACTAGCTCCTTCCCATAGATAGCTCTGTGCTTCTTCAGGCTCTAATTCCTCCAACTGGCCTGCACTGTAGACAACATTTATACACCCAAATGGTATACCTGCATCCATCCTCAAGACACATTTAAAAGATTAATCCACTTCACTATATATCCAGGCTTCCTACAACCCCAGCTCCCAGGATTTAGCCTAATGAATAATCCCCAACAGGCAAATTAATACTTGTGTTTCTACATGCTGATGAACCTACTCTGACCACCTGTACCTTGCAGTTGAAGCTGTAGTCTTCTACAGGTCTCCAATTCATTCAGACTAGCTTAGTTCCAGTAACTCCTTCAGGGCTATAGCCAACATCTAGTCTCCCTCTGCACTTAACATACCTGCACCCACCCATGGAACATTTGCTCTACATTCACAACCCACTACACATCCAGACTTACCATTCCTACCTAAGGTCCAAACCTGGTGAATATTTCCCCACATCCCACCAAACATAGCTCATATCTCACTGCCAGTGTCCCAGCATAGTCTTGGCACTTCTTGCATCGTGCAGGAATGTCCACTAGGTTTTAACAGAGTCCCAAATCCAGGGACCTGATTGCATCACCTACTCCTGTTCTGTAGCTAACATACATTACCTTAC